ATTTCTTAAAGTAACTTAACACCTTTGAATGCATAAAGTATAATTATATTTTAATATTGAAATATAATTATACTTTATTTGATCTAATCCACAATGCTCAAACTTTTTACTGATATTAACCTTTGAATGCTTATAGTTCATGCCTAACAACATTATCTCATCCTACCCTTCAATACTCATTTACTGATTAATCAGAATGCACGTTTTGTATTCACCCGTGTTAAATGGTATAGTAGCGTTAGCCATGCTGAAGTAATGCATACAGTGGTAGAGGTAAGGAAGGGAAATCAATATAGGAGGTTGTGAAGCTACGTCGAATGAGATGGCTAGGATATGTGTTATGCATGCTTAGTCATATATCACCTTTCTTGACAACTGATATAGGATCAGGTTGACTAACTGACTGGCCGGTTTCAACATACAACTTCGCACCGATGTGCAGCAGTTTGAGTTACCACACTCCATGTAGCATGCAAAGCAAGAGAAGAAGAAAGTAAAAAGAAATGCAAAATAGAGACAGTAAACAGAAATGTGAGGCAAAAAGAATAGTAATATCCAGGAACCATTTAGTTTTAATGGGTACTATAAGTCACAAGGAGTGGATGCATCTGCACCAGCTATTGAGAATGATTTTGAGGCATATCACCAATTTTCTCCAGCCTTCATTGGTTTTCACAGTCCCGATGATCCCAAACAGGAAGTCTACACCTTCCCACGTGGCTTAAACTAATTGATATGGATTTCATCGATTGATGCCATGTTACGGTTTAACCACCACTGGCTCTTTTCCAACATTATAATATGTTAGCTAATATTGCCTGTTGTCGAGGAAGGAGACGGCTAAGCATACGTAACACATCTCCTAACAATCCCAATCTAAGTAACTTCACAACCTCGTCGATTGATTTTCCCTCCCTACCTATCACTCGACCGATGCCTAACCTCAATATTACTCGCCCTAAAGACACTGCTTGACTGGATCCCGGTAGATAGCCGAATGTGTGCTGTCCGTCTGAACGGGTCAGTAAAAAGGAGAAAGGACTGCACTACTCGCCGATGCCTTTTCGTAATCTCCGCCTACGCCCCCACTGACTGCAGTTCAGATGAAACGAAGGATGAGTTCTACCAAAAGCTGTCTAGTTTGGTGAGAAAGGCTAAACGCTCAGACATAGTCGTTCTAGCTGGTGACTTTAACGCTCAAGTAGGGAAATTGTGTCAATCTGAGAAGGATGTCGGTGGCACCTATGGAGTCCCGTGCCAGCGAACCGACAACGGTGACCGTCTCCTACAGTTCTGTTCTGATAATCATTTGTTTCTTGTAAGCACTAACTTCAAACACAAGGAGAGACACTGTTTGACTTGGAGACCCCCTTCATCAAACCAACGCTGGACACAAATAGACCACATAGCAATAAGCTATCGTTGGCGTGGGTCGGTAGGAGATTGTCGCTCCTTCTGGAACACGTGCGTAGATACCGACCATGCACTGGTCCGCGCTCGGGTGTGCTTACGACTGAACGGACGTAGGAAACAGCTGGCGGTAAAACCATCACGTCCCCAGCTCGATCAGGAAACTAAATCCGTATTTGAGGAAGAACTAGCTAAACACATATCTGTGTTCGACAGCTGTGCTCACCCTGAAGAAGCTTGGAAAAATATCCAGGCAGCCATAGATACAGCTGTAAAAGCTGTGAATAAGGTAAACCCAAAGGTGAGTAAAAACCACTGGATCTCCACCGCCTCATCCGAACTGATAGATGCTAGAAGACTTATTCCGGCGAGCTCCGAATTCAATGAGGAGCGAAAGCTGCACAAGAGGAAACTTACGAAAAGTCTCCGCAAGGACCGTGAACAGTGGTGGGCGACAAAAGCCAAAGAGATGGAGAAAGCTTCGAGGATAGGCAACACCAGGCAACTCTTTAGACTCATCAGGGAAACGGGTGGGAGAAGACAAATCATCAGTGAGACAATCTCGGAAAAAAATGGCACTATAATTAGCTCCAGGATAGACGACTGGATCGTTGGAAAGAGCATTATGAGGAGCAGTTTAATTTGCCCACAGCCACGCTCAACCTTCCGAGCATCCAACACCTCCCTGAATGGGATATAGACACAGGTCCTCCGTCACTAACTGAGGTTACTAAAGCTGTCACCAATCTGAAACTAGGCAAAGCAGCGGGACCTGATGGAATGACTCCAGAGGTATTTAAGTACGGTGGAGACAGCTTACTGTCTGGATTAACTGAGGTACTAGGCAGCGTCTGGGAATCAGAAGAAGTCCCATCGGGTTGGTGTAAGTCACTGATTATCCCCATATACAAGAAGGGAGACAAGTCTTCCTGTGATAATCACAGAGGGATTAGCTTGACTAATATAGTATCTAAAGTCTTAGGCTCAATAATCATGCGTAGACTGAGTGGTGCTCGGGAAGCACAAACACGAGAGAGCCAGGCAGGCTTTAGACCAGGAAGAGGGTGTATTGATCATATCTTCACCCTCCGACAGATTCTAGAACATAGGCATTCCTACCGGCGTCCAACAGTCATTATATTTCTTGACCTAAAGGCAGCATTCGACTCTGTCGATCGAGAAGTTCTCTGGAGATGCTTGGCTGTAAAGGGAATTCCGAGAAAATATATTGCACTGATTAAGGCACTCTACTCGTACTCATACAGCCAGGTGAGGGCTTACGGCGAGCTGTCATCTGAACTGATGACGACCAGTGGTGTCCGTCAAGGATGCCCATTATCTCCTTTTCTATTCAACTTCATCATAGATGTGTTAATGGACTTAACCCTAGGTGACTTCAGCGACTCAGGGATTGACTTGCTACCGGGGAATAATCTCGTTGACTTGGAATATGCAGACGATATAGTCCTTCTAGGCGAAGACGCTGACGAAATGCAGAGTCTTCTAAACACCTTGAGCCGCAATCTACGAATGTTTGGCATGCGATTCGCTCCCGCCAAATGCAAGATGATGTTACAGGACTGGACTACATCGACGCCTAGTTTAAAAATAGGAAGTGAAGTGGTAGAGCACGTTGACCGCTTCACTTATTTGGGAAGTACCATCAGCCCCAACGGGTTGATCTCTGACGAAATCTCAGCACGAATACAAGGGGCTCGTTTCGCATTTGCCAGTTTACGCCGACTCTGGCGTAGACGAGATGTTCGACTATCGACCAAAGGGCGGGTGTACTGCTCATCAGTCCGCTCCGTCCTCCTTTATGGTTGTGAGACCTGGCCACTGAGAGTGGAAGACATGAAAAGACTAGCTGTCTTTGATCATAGGTGCCTGCGTTCTATTTCCCGTGTAAAGTGGCATAATAAGGTGAGCAACATGGAGGTTAGGCGTAGAGTTCTAGGTAAACAGGGGAAATCAATCGACGAAGTCGTGAAGCTACAAAGACTGAGATGGTTAGGACATGTGTTACGTATGCCAAGTCATCGCCTCCCTCGACGAGCAATGTTAGCGGATATAGGGTCAGGCTGGAAAAAAGCTAGCGGCGGTCAAACAAAAACTTGGCTTCAAGTCAATGAAATCCACAACAGTTGGTCTAAGCCACGTAGGAAGGTGTAGACTTCCAGGCTGGGGTCCTCGGGACGGTAAAAATCTATGGTTGGAAACAATTGGTGACATGGCTCAAAATCGTTCTCAGTGGCGCAGATGCATCCACTCCTTGTGACTTATGATCTCCTATGAAACTGTTTTGTTTTTCTTTATTACTCCTTTGTCTCACACCTCTGCTCACTGTTTCTATTATGCTTTTCTTGTACTTTCTTCTCTTGCTTCGCGTGCTACACGGAATGTGGCGACTTGAACTTCCGCACATTTGTGCAAAGTTCTATGTCGAAAACAGATAGACAGACCCTATTAGACCACTCAACACACACGAGAGATAGAACACAGGCACCTGTGATCAAAGACAGATAGCCTGCCTTTTCATGTCTCCCACGTTCAATGGCCATGCCTCACTGATAGCCATAAGGGAGGACGGAGCGTACTTCTGAGCAGAACACACGCCCTTTGGTCGACAGCCAGGAGGATATCACATCTACGCCAGAGATGGAGCAAGTTCGCATATGCGAAACGAGCCTTCTGTATCCGTGCTGAAACTTTGTCGGTGAGCAACCCATTGGCGTTGGTTGATGCAACTTCCTGAATAAGTGAAGCGGTCAACACACCATATCACTTCACTCCCTATTTCCAAGCTAGGAGTGAATGTAGTCTAGTCCTGTAGCATCATCATACGTTTGACAGTAGGATCGAATCGCATGCCAAACATTTGGAGATTGCCGCACAGCTCAAGATGTTCAGAAGAATCTGCATTTTGTCCGCATCTTCACCACCTAGAAGGACTATACCATCTGCATATTCTAAATCAACGATATTATACCCTGGTAACAAGTCAATCCTTGAGTCACTGAAGTCAGCAGTTAGGGTTAATTTCATTAGTACATCTATGATAAAATTGAATAGAAATAGGGATAGTGGACATCCCTGATAGAAACCAGTAGTTGTCACCACTTGAGGTGACAACTCGCCGTAATCTCTCACCTAGCTAGCTGCATGAGTTCGAGTAGTGCCTTGATTAGTGCAATGTATTTTCTCGTCACTCCTTTCACAGCCAAAAATCGCCATAGTACCTGTTAGTCGACAGAATCGAATGCCGCCTTTAAGTCAAGAAATATGACGATTGTTGCACGCCGGTAAGTATGCCTATGTTCCAGAATCTGTCAAAGGGTGAACATATGATCAATACACCCTCCACGTGGTCTAAAGCCTGCCTGGTTCTCTCGTGTTTGCACCTCCCGAGCACCACTTAGTCTACGCATTATTAGATCAGGTTGGGAAGGAGCACAAAAATTTGTGAAAACAGAAAAAATTACAATATATACGTACAAGTATCATTGATTAATATTACATAACTAACTATTGTACATCTGTACATAAATGAAAATGGTTTAATACAATTTTTTTTTTCTTATATAGGTCTCTTAACGTGGCCATGGATCTATTCTATTTGTACGTACTACAAGTGAAATTTTTCTAGCCATTTCAGAATCATATATACGTTTACAACGTTCATACATTATTCTGCGTCTCCATACTGTAGGTCTTTCATAATATTCTTGAGCTTTGATTGTATTCTTAACTTTATCCGTAGTCAGTATTCTGAAAGAAAGAAAGGAAGGAAAACCGTGGATGACAAATAAGAATCTAATTGATGAGATGAGTACATGTAACAACAAGGAAAGAAAACATAGCTTTGTTCAATGAAGAAATATTCTTTTCCGATAATTTGGTTTTCAAACAGTTGTACAGTCGTATTTATACTACGCAATCTCATTTAACAGCTATATGACAATGACTGACTGGTTTCAACATAGAACTTTGCAACGATGTGAAGCAGTTCGAGTCGCCAGATTTCACTCAGCACACAAATCAGAGAAGTAAAAAAATGCAAAACAGAGACAGTAAACAGAGATGTGAGGCAGACAGAATAGTAATATGGAGGAACCATATAACATCTGTGCCATCACTGAGAACAATTTTGAGCCACATCACCAATTGTCTCCAGCCTTCATTGCTTTTTACCGTCCCAAGGACCCCAACCAATCAGGAAGTCTACACCTTCCTACGTGGCTGAAACTAACTGTTGTGGATTTCATTGACTGATACCACGTTTTGGCTCAACCACTACGCTGTGTGACAATGCCGTGTCAGGTGATCCACAAAAGAAAAGTCAGTGAGGCCTTCGAAGTGAAAACAGAAGTAAAATAAGGCTACCTGACTATTATCATCGATGATATTCTTAATCGTGATGAACTGGATTATAAGGAAGACTGCGCATGGGAGAGAGAAGGTAGGAATACGCTGGACCGATAAATAGACTGTACAAGGATCCGGATTTCGCGTGTGGATGAATCATGTTGAATGTCATACAAACTCGAAGAGCTGCAGCCGAAAACCAACTAACTGGTTGAAGAAGCAGGCAGCGAGGACAGGAGTTCAAGTGAACATAGAGAAGACGGAGGTGATGAAGATAACCAGTAAACAACAACAGCAACAAGCACTAATCACTACCAACAGAATATATCTGAAAGAGGTTACTTCCTTCACCTGTCTACGACGCATTGTTCCGAATACAGGCGAAAGTACAGATGAGGATGTGAAAACCAGAATCGGTAAGGCAAGAAACACAATCTTCTGCACTCAGCATTAGGAGGGGAATCCGGGTTTTCAACACCAAAGTTAAGTCAGCCGGTTTTTCTCTACGGGTCTGAAAAGTGGCGGGCGCGTCACGGAAAGCATTTCCAAAAAGCTGCTGTGTACTTTTACCAAATGGTCAGCAAGAATTAGCAACAAGAAACTACTGTTCAACAAATATGCAGCAGAAAATGGAAGTGGATTGGACATACTCTGAGAAGACCGTCGAATAACATCATGTGCCAGGCCATCGGTCAAGTAGAACTCGAATGGGAAACGAGTGGGGAGTTGGTCCGAGGGTGATATGGAGGTCATGCAAAGAGGAGATGACGGACTTTGGGCAATCGTGGGACCGGCTAAACAGGACTGTAGAGAATAAGACAAAGTGGAGACGTGTTGTTGAAGCCTTATGTTTTACTCAGAAACCAAGGGAACTATCATAATAATAAAATAAACGCCATTAAGTGGTACAAAAAAATTACGCAGTCAAGATACACATAGGATAAGAATATAGATAACCACTTTTAAGAGACAGAGATTAATCGAATGAATCTCAACATTTTAAAAGGTAGGTCCACCGAAAGCCGACTTTTGTAGGGCAATATACTAGCCTCAACAGTGAAACCCTATCCATTTTTCATGTTTCGAAGTCCTGAAAATCTGCTCTTAAAACATGGCTGGCAAAGAAATTGAAAGCCTTCGTACAACTATCTCAAATAAGGGTTATTCCAAAAGGTTTATTGGTAGAAATATGAAGGAATAAACCGATTTTAACCAAATCATAATACCAAAGAAAATGAGATGATCACATCTGAAAATTCCTGCATATATTTTCTGTTTTGGTGCACCAAATATACGCATAACAACAAAATTTTTAAATGATACATATTGGCTGTAGAACTTATCACTCTAGTTAAATCGGATAGTATGTAAATCGAATATAAACTTACTTTGATAGAGCTTTATATGCAGCATTATAATCATCATTTTTAACAACAACAGTCTTCTTCAGAAATCGAAAGTTTTTAAAGAATACATCAACTGGTAGTGTTGATCTGGACATTTCAACATCAGTTAACGTTATGTTATTGATAACTCTAGCCACGCTTTCACCTTCAAAAGAAAGAACACAATGAATAAACAACCGATACTTGTACACTTTAAGAGTTAAGTAAGAGTTTTAAAAAAACTTAAAAGTTAAAAAATTGTACTACTTCTACGCTCAAGTGCGAGTACTGAGAAAAATTAGAATGTAGGCTTGTGAATTGTTCTCTCATGTCACATTTATTGACCAAGTTAGACAACTGATCTGTTAAATGCATTGTATCGTGTTTATAACATTCAGAATCATAATAAATTAACAAATTTGAGTTTTTAAATTCACTTACTCCATATATTTAATAAACGCCATTAAGTGGCTGCTATTGTTAGGCAAATGTGATGAAAATAAACAATAGTAGCCATTAAAATAGTCTGAGTTTGATTCCACACCAAACTTATACTCGCAACCTAACCTAAATCCTATAGGATTTAGGTTAGGTTGAAGGTTATAACCCTCAACCCCAGCTAGCATTTTGTTCGGGCGCATTGCAGACCTTTTGGGGCAGACTTCGGGCGCACTGCAGACTTTTGGGTAGACTTGGGCGCACTGAAGACTCTTAGAGACAGACGTGGAGCGCATTGCAGTCTTTCTGGGGCAGACTTTGGGACACTGTCCCACGTAAGTAGATCTACCCGAAGTTTTTGCCCCAAAAAGTCTGCGATGCGCCCGTAAAAATATGCTAGCTGGGACACTATAGGGAATTATAACTCCCAACGTTTTTATAACTACTAACATACAGTTACCCATTCAAGGTCATCTGATGGCTGGAAATTGTCTTACATGACTACCTAAGCAGTGAAATTTACTATTTATCAGCAAACTCAGAGGTCTTCAAAAGTGCTTCATTCCAGCTACTCTTGTAAGTTAAACTTGCAGTGTCCGCTTTTTAAATTAAAACATAGGTTTCCTGCCCAAAACACAGAAGAAAAGAGACAAAGCAAACTCGACCACAACATAGTGAAATTGTTATTTTCCAAAGCACTGCACTCACAAGAAACAAAATCCCGCCAGGGTCATTGGCTCGATATCCAATATCGTAATTACGAGCTGATGTAAACCGATTTGATTACTTTGTGTTCACTTCTTCATTGTAAGGCGAAAACAGCCTGTTCTTCGGTAAACTTCCGCGTAGTTCATCTCATCACTCAACTGTTATAGCCTTGGTTGGCTCCGAAAGGAGTGGTGCTCGGATTAATTACGTTGTTTTTAGTATGTGATGTGTTAAGACTGTGTTACTACTGTGAGTGGAGTTGATCCTTTCCCCAGTTAGTCCTCTGATGTCGTTGAAAAGAAGGAAGGTTATAATAATAACAGATATAGTCAGTGTCGTTTATGCTGACTAAATAAAAAAAGGAAAGAAGAGAAACGTAAAAACAGACAGCTAATGAAATTTGTAGTTGATATGTAAATATATATACGCGTATAAGTTTATCAATTTCAATGGTAATAGTAGTGTAGGTGGTGTAATAGTTGGAGAAGTTAGAAGAGTAAGACAAGACAGAATGTGAAGAAGTAAACTATGGGTTTAGAAGTCTACCCATTAATGGTGTAAGGGATTATAAGAGCATAGGCCATTTGGACGCAGTCCATGTGTCGCTGCATGAGTGTCAGGCCCTCGCTTAAAGCTGTCCACGGACAGTGCCATATCTACATCTGCAGGTGCGGTGGGAGCTGTCTGTAAGGCAAAATTGTAGACAACAATTTACTTCAATGTTTACGTTCGGAATCGGGGTCATGAGAAAAAACGAGAACAAAGCCTAACATTGAGGAACTCAACAACCAATTACAGTGGCCTGAGCATGTACAGATATGATTCGCAGATATATGGATAACTTTGTAAGCGACAGCCGCAAGCAGTACAGAACAAACTTCAGCATGAAAGACCAATCAGAGTATACTGCTTCTCTGCTAACAATGACGCTAATAATAATGCACATAAAAATCTATGAATAGCTCTGGAGTTTCTCAATAAACGATATGTTGTCTGGCCCCTGTCCCCTGTCGTTACACCGTTAAGGAGTTCCAGGGAAGACAAACTGGCAGTGAAGAGAAATGGGAGCGCATTCGAGTCTTCGTCTTCTAGTAAGCTATCGTTCTGGGATTCCCGCGAGGAAGTCCACTAGTGTCTAATTTGTCTGGATGATTATGGTCACTTGTTATCTTATAGGCAGTAATCAAATCCCTTTACCCGACGCTAGCTAAGTGTGAAGAGTCTTAATTTCTTTACCTGTTCATCGTACAGTTTATTTCAGAGAACTACTCCATCTTTGTACTCTTTCCAAAAGGTTCAACTCTCTTCTTAATAATAATAATTTATATTTCGTATAAATGGGTACGTTTACACTAAATTCACTCCGGTTGTGCCTTAATATATATAAAGGATACCTCAGACCTTTAGGAATTGACGTCGCACGCAAACCAACAAAATGACTTCACTCAGCCTGCCAGCTCTGTGTCAACCAAAAGACTCAACAGCGAAAGAAGACAAAACCAACATCATCTACAAAAGAAGTTGCGACGATTGTGAAAAACACTACATTTGCTAAAGCAGATATCTGCTTCGCCTTCGTATCCATGATCATAAAATAGTTTTCTAAAGACATGACATCCACTCCCTCGATCATAACGCAACATAAAGACAACCACGGACATCAATTCGACTGGGAAAACATCCAAATATTAGACAGAGGAAACAACAGGAATGCTAGAGAATTTTTTAGACTTTCAGAAATAATGTGTAATAACAAACGCGAAAAACAAGAACACAGATTGGTGACTCGAGAATCCTTTATTCTTACGCCAACATGTAACCAACAATAAGGTTATTATACACAAGGTCTAAGAACAAATGTCATAACAATAAATCACGATAATACTTCTGATAGTTTTCTCCGTCTTCCAACGAAGAGCCAACGATGGAACGATGACCGCACTATCGATGACTGCCGCCAATATATAGAGTTGGGTTTGAGCAAACGACCGTGAATTGATCGTTCAATCTTCAACTACATTGACACTCCCCGACAAAATGCGGATCCATCCCTGTTTTCCATCGCGACGAATACACGTTGTCTTGGATCCCGGTGTGAGAACCTGTGTCACACGGACAAATCTAATTTGGAAATCAAACAGAAAAGCCAACACACCTTAGAAATACCTACAGCACAATCTCACACATCGATGACGACCTACGCCTTCCAGTTAAAGGAATCCTCTTGACATCTTGCAACACAATCGCCACTTCCTACAATGACTCTTGCAGAAAGTAACGTAACCACAGCAGCAACTCGTGGCACTTTTCCCATACCCTCTTATCTATTCACCAGCAAATACCACTGCTATCGCTGGTCACTCATAGTAATAATAATATATTCTCATTTTTTACATTAGGGACGCCAGTTCACAGGCATCATCAATTCGATAAATTACATATAAGGTTGATAAGCATATTTAGTAAAAAAAAATATAGTAAGGTACATGTTTTTTCCTAGCTATGCAGGAACATACCTATTGTACAGGCGTGGATAAGTTATTATATAAATTACACATAATTTGATGTATGATGAATTTACAGTTTGGTTGTTCTCTCTGTCATTACAGGCAGTCGGAACAGTCTGCTATAGTGTCTGTTTGTGTGGGATATAAAGAGGTATAGAATTATTGTCATCGAATTAACAAAATCCCAGACATCAGATGAATGTAATACAAATATCTGGGAAAAAGAAAGCTTGAAGTCAATTCTCCTATATAACTTTGTTGTGAACAGCACCCTTGGATTAAAGTTTATTGATGTATTATGTTGAGATCAGTGATATATCTATTCCATTTTTCAGCAGTCTTATCGTAGTTTCATAACAGGAAATAAATATGATTGTGGAGGCGAAAACTAGATAAGGTCACGTTGGGTTGTTTCACTGCATCAAATGGTGCTGGGGTCGATTCCAGAATCCTCCATTTGCGCCATTTGTGTCTGCATGGCGGACTGTACTCGGAAGTTGAGTAAAATGTTGAAAACTGTTTGAAAACCAGTTGCTTCTTCATTTCAGATTATCCTGCCACAGTTTTCGTGACAGTGACGTATGCAAGCCTCAGTCGTCCACACTCTCGCTCCTCGGCATGTGGGACCACGGCCAATCATTATCTTCGGGTACATGTCATTCTCAGCAATAGCCTCCTAGGCGGATACGACCCATCTGCTGCCTTTAACATCAATCAGTTCATTCACGGATGTGGAAGACTAGAAACAACTTCAGAAGTAAGCAGAAAGAAAATTTTAACAAAATTAGGCAATAACAACGTGTAAACAAAACGAATCCAACAAACACCGACTGATATGACACATCACAGGTATATAAAAACAGTATACAACCTCGCAAATCGTGCCTCGATGTAATTCCTTTGAAGAATCGCAGGACTTACACCAGTACGCCTACAACTCTTCTCAGGTTGACGCTCTAAGTTGGAAAATCGTCGCCAAGTTTATTTGCTGACTTCCCTCTATCATCTATATCCTCAAATCTGAACGGTAACACGCCCATGTCATTGTATCGTAGAATATAGATGACGAACAAACACACGACGTATCTGGTCAACCAAGCGTAGACGCAGAGTAATTTACACCAAAGATAATAGCATTCAAATAGTAACTTGAAACTAGAAACGCCTTTATTCATGCAAGTCAATTTAACAATTACTCTCTCGTTTACACTGGGCTTATCCTCACTAAACTGAGCAATATCTTTCGTCTTTTCAAACGCACCAATACTATCATAGTCATAGCACAAGATAGTTGAGTTGATGGGCGTCTTTTTCATTGTGGATGACAACACCAACGACGACTGAGTGACACAAGTTGATGAACTCAGTGGTGCATCAGAAGTTGTCACTGTTCAACCTTTAGAAGGCTTTCTTACCGCAAAGTTACTACCACTGCTGTCTTTTACGATTAGCTCCAGTTTAGC